AAACGAGTATAATATCCTACAAAGACGCATATATTTATATAATATAATTGGCGAAATAATATTATGAACAATGTTTTATTTTCACCGTATTTTAATGAAGTATTATAATTTTATCAGTATCATTATTTTTTTAATGATAAAATTACATTTTAAAGACACATATACGTGTGTTAGAAAAAATTATTTTTATTTTACGCTTTAGGACTTAAAAAGTGATGATTTACAATACAGATTTTGGTTGACCCATAATTCAATAAGATTCTTCTGAAGAAGCTCTCATGTAATTTCGTGGTGTAATCAATATTGTTTTAGACGGTTTAATGACTTTAGATAGAACTCTTTTTAAGTCGATACTTTTCATTTTCAGTATAATCACTGATCTCGAAATAATACATCGTGAAATATTGTTTTGTCAAGATTTCAAAAGATGTGCTACCGCATAGTGGAATTTCGAAAATAAAATATTCGGTATTATGTACAATTTTGTGTAACACAAATTTGTTTTAAACAACTTCCCTTATCCTCGAAAAATAGTTTAATAAAAACATTTTTATAAGATTGACATAATATAATATAAAAACTACAATAAACAAAATAACCATAGTGTCATATTGCAGTACAATAATCACAATAATAATAATAGTACAAACTATACGCGATCGTATAAGCACGTATACTTACGATTCTTCATATCGTATTTCCGAATAACAAAAACAAAAAATCACTAGAATATTTCATGTTTGTTTATTCGAACAAAATATAGTTAGAAACGTATACTATAACTGGAAGAACACCGACCACTTAACCTGGCCCACAATCACAATTTCCATCACCATCACATCATCACAAAAGTTTTAACGGCCTTCCACTTTACCTCGCGCACACACCGGATCCATAACTTTGAATATAGTCCCTCGTTTTCAGGACAAGCTGTAGTCCCTACAAAATCATTTACCGCATCCCCCACCCACAATGTGGTTGGGTTAGGTTGTGGGTAATGACCTCAAAATCTGTAAAAAAATTAGTTACACGCCCGAGAAAACAGAAGTATTATACGAAAATAGCGCAAGTCTGGTGCCCAAAAATATTTTGGACATAATGGGGGTGGGGTGCAGTCGAGATGGCTTACCCGCTTATGGCGACTGACACCGCTGGGCAAACCGTTCATTCGCTTCCCGTTCAAACTATAAACCACCAGAGTATCGCCAAACAAAGAGTTTCGCGTAAAATTGCAAATTCCGCCGTTGAACTTGAGTTTAACAACGGCATTGTGACGGTATTACTTGACTCACTAGCGTGAGTTTTTTTTACTTGACAGGACTTACATCGCAATAATGTAGTCGACGCTGGTTTTGAGGGAAGAGACTCGTGAGCCGTTTATTAATAAGCAACATCAGGTTTTTTAAAAACAAACAAACCGAAAAGACGAGCACAGTTAATAATAATCTTTGCATAATATCGCTGCACTTTCACTGGTGTCAGAGACGTGGTGTCCGGCATAATCCTCGGGCGTCAAAAAGTTAGCAGCGTTGATGGCGACGGTGTGCGGGTACGGATCGGTTCATCGTGTCCGGTCGTGCGAGACGTCCGGAGCCGGTGGCGTACGTCCTCGACGTTGTCACTTTGTCAACGGGAAGAAGACTCAACGTATCATTTGCGGCGGGTCGTCATCGGCTGTGCGGCATTTGCTTGACTTTGCACCGTGGCGTATGGCGCGCGGTGTTGATCAGTCAAATACTCATAGTAGGACGACGACTGATAAAGGTTGCACGAGACGTGTGGCATCGTGTATCAAAAAGCGACACGTGTCATACTTTAATTCAAGTGACCAATGGTAAATAGCAAAATATTTGTAATAATCTTTAAGATTATATGAATAACTGAGAAACTAAGTGTCATTCGCCAAATTAATTTAGCCATTTATTTTTAAGACTAATTGTTTAATTATCGTTCACTTAAACTTTTATGGTGCCTTAGTCACGTCGGTATTTTTGGTAACGAGGAGGCTGATCAATTAGCCAAACTTACCAACTTCATTACCCGTCCTCCAACCCTCAAGATTCCTCACACTCCTTCATAAGACTATATCTCAAGCATGGCAAGAATATTAGTCTTCTCGTCTCTCCCTTATCACAGCTTGTACAAATTAATTTCACCAACTATTCCTAATCATTTTTGGTGTTATAAACTTCCACTCTCCCGGTTCCATATAATATTTATTTCTCAGCTAAAACTTGGTACTAATCGCNTTTCTCGGCTAAAACTTGGTACTAATCGCCTTCCTTTACATGCTTAAAATAATGCCCTTAATAATTTTCCCTTCTGCCCTAAATATGACAATGATGATTCTGCAATTTTTCTCATTTAATTTTTGACTGTCGTGCTTTAGAAATGAATCGTTCCATATTATTTAACTATTTTAATTGCTATAGTGTCTTCACAATTAATTGTTTTACTATTCTCAACTCAACCTCCCCAATGTAATATCACTTGTTATTTCTTTTATTCATGCAGCTGGTTTTTTATTTTAACTATATTGTAACACTAATTATGTATCTGATATTTTTTTATTATTAAATGTTATCATGTATATAGTTCTGACTATTAATAACAAGTTGTAATTTTTTTTTTTAACTTAATTGTTAAGTTATATTAATATTTTGTATTGAAAGCTATAAAAAAAAAGGTATCACAGTGGCACAATATTATAATTACCTAGAGCAAAGTTTTATAATTGTAAGTAAAAAAAAAAAAAATTATTATAATTTTTTATAGTTCGATTATCGAAAGTTCAGTTTTTTTTAGAAACTCAACTTTCAAGATCCAAAAATCATCATTCAAGTTCGCTAATGTTAACGTGGCATAGTTGAGACAAGTATAGACAATATCTGACAGTGATTAAAATCACTATCATAATGAACAAAATAAAAAAAAAACTATAAGGAGAGCGATTAATAATTGTACGGCTGCCGATTACTAGAGGCGCGAGACGTGTGTACTGTCTACATACAAAAAGGGAACTATCATAGACAAGTATACTAACGTGGCACGAACACGTTCAAACCAGTCATACACGAGCGCCATAAGATGCGCCATAAGATGCGCCATAAGATGCGACAGGACGGGTATCAACTATTGCCACACTCTACCCAACACTAATGAAGACGTTTCAGAAAGGGTATCTGAGAGGAATTAATATGGAAGAGTATATAGAAAAGGCGAAATGAATTAATAAAAAAATATATTACAAAAATCTTTATTGTAATGAAATTATTCGTTTGTATTTTGAATTCATATATAATAATTACATTTAAACGAATATAACATCATAAAAAAATGTAGTAATATAATTGGGAAAATCCCAAGTCCCTTATTCTCGAAAAATAGTTTTATAAGATTAACCTAATATTATATGTTATAATAACGTTAAAAAATATAATAATAATATTTTAAAAAAATGCATTCTTGGAATGAATTTTGATGTTCAAATTACTTGATATTTTAAAAACATTTTATAATTTTATAAAATGAAAGAACATTCAGTTAGATTAAAACTTTTGCGTAAATCGAACGCTGTACAAATAAAATTAATGTAAATAAGTGAACAAACTAGCGCTATGATAAACTTAGTTAAATAGAGTTTTTGTTAAAGTATTCAATGGGTTTGATAATTCTTTCAAGCATCATTTTCAGAAAAACAAAATTTTAAATATATTGACGCACTATTTTATTAATTTTATGAGTAATTTCATATTAAAGTTTAAGCCTCAAAAAAATATGTTCTTGATATGAGTCTTTGATTTGAACTAGAAAGTATTAATTTGAAACATATTTAATTTTGGCAATACTATCTGTCTGTTTGATGTTAACATTTTATTGTCAGTAATATTGAATAAATATATTAATGTCATCACTTGAATGTTTTTAAAGTCTTATCTTGTTGGTTTGGTTATATTTTGCTACATTTCTTAAATATATTATTATTGTTAATTATTTAATTAAGAAAATAACGAATCCATAGTGTCTTTTGCATCAATATTTTGGCAGCTATTAATAGTTCATCATAGATAAAAAATACATAGATTGGAAAAGCCCACGTCAGTAACTTCTATTTTCTTTTTTTTGACATTTTGGTACTTTTACAATGCCTCCGCTACTCTCCGCACATCCAAAATATCATAGGTCTCCGTTGTATACTAACCATATTTGATGTACATAGAGTACATAAAAATATCATTAATACTTTCCTAAGTACTAAAACTACTCTCCAATTTTTTGTTTAAATAATAATTTTTTTATAGAAATGTACTGGTTAAAATTTTATTTCTTTTTACGAACCGTAATAAATATCAAGTTAATTGTAAGAAAAAAATATTTCCAAGGGTAGATTTTAGAGGTAATTTCCAAAAGTTTAATGGAAACCTATTATTATATTTTTACTATTAAATGAAGAATGCGAAAAACCTCCATGATTAAATTCTTCAATAATTAATAAAATAATTTTAATATATATATATATTTTTAAATTATTTCTTCTTAGTATCAACACCGAAGGTATTTTTTCAAATTATGACGTTAATAGTATTTACTAGTTAAAATTTATGATATTCGTTTTTTTAACAAATTTGATTTAATTATTTTTATGTAATAATAAATACTTTTAAAATTTAAAATTATTCGTTTAAGACAACTAGTTAATAGGACACCTATTTATCAAAAGTGAAGTTAATGTAATTATTTTAAGCTTTAAAAAATAATTTGTTAAGTAAACAATAATAATTTTAAGAAAATTATGCATTTATTTCTGAATGTATTAAAAAAATTAATTTGTTTAAACTGACATACAATGATGTATTGTTACATTAATCATATATTGCTAACATTAAAACATAACATTAATAGAATAAACTTGTTTTTACCATAAAATATTACAAATAAGTAAATAAAAGTTAAAATAGTCTGTATAGCTTAATAATTTTTTGTATAAAAATCTAAAAATTTTCATTTTATCATTAATACATTAATAACTGTTTACCTATATAAAATTCATTAAACTTAAAACGGATTTCATTAAAAAATGATTTATCAATTTAAAATAGTACTGTTTGCAAGTTGCATTATATCAACTTTATGCTTTCCGAATAGTTCTGGTCCATCAAATACTGAAGCTTCTTCAAGTGAAATACCGGTAACTTACTAGAATTTTATTTTCTAATTTATTACAAATTATAACACTAACAATGAAAGATAAAAAAATTATAGAAAAATGAAAACAACTTTATTTATTACTTTATTTATTTATTATTATACAGGACACCAGCTTTCTTGTTTACAATTTTTACATGAATTCTTTATGTAATTTCAACGCTGATTCTGAATCTGGTTTTAGATCTATCTATCATACTTAGTTTTTGAGTAAATGAATAATTAACAATTAAGCAATAATAACACAGTGAAATAATGATAAAAAAATTAAATTTATTTTTTTTAAATTTCCTGAAATTATTTAATGATGTTTAATGAGAGTTGTGCAAAATTTAGGATTGTTTCATCAAGTTTAACCATTTTTTTGAATCTTGAAAGTTGAGTTTTAGTGGAATTTTTAAAAAAATGTTGAACTTTGAAGTATATTTTTTTTTTTGGTTTAAGTTAAAATTATAAAACTTTAACTAAAAAAAAGATAATTGTATAAGTATTTAAAAAGTATTATTTCTGTGCATTTTGAGTAAACATAAAGCGAAAAAATTACTGTTAATACAAAAAATACAGGAAAATCTCGAAAATTCGTAACAAATACTAGTTTATTTATAAATTTCAATTGTGGATCTAGGTGTTATCTATTAGCCAATCTATTATTAATAATCACAATAGTTATATACATAATAAAAGTATGCGTATGTTAGGATTTATAAAAAGACAATGTTGGAATTTTAAAAATATCAATCGCTTAATAGTTTTACAGTACTCTCTTATAATATCTAATTAGGAATAGGGAATACGTCGACTAGTTTCACCTCATTAATTGTCTAAACGTGATTCAATCTATTATTTTGAGTGGTTTATGTCAAATATATAAAATTCATTCGTCATTCCATGATCTTCAATGTGTTTTACAGCTTTAATCACTATGTAATGGTCGCGAATATGATTATTTATTCTTTGTTTAAAAACTTTTATAGAATAAAGTAGATTGTCCGGAACTTTTTAAATTAGTTGTATGTTCCTTTATTTTTCTCTAAATCTCCAGTTATATTTCATGAATCGTTTCACATTTATCATATTATGGTTTAAATGGACTATGTGCTACGAGCTTGTATTAAGGTTAATTTCGATTTTAATTATAATGGCTAATCTAAATTTCTATCTATTATTACACTCTATTTATCCTTATGGATGTTGTATTTAAATATCACTTTGTCGTATTTAAATATGGAACAATCTTTTTGTTCTAACTTATAGTTATAGTAGTTCAATAATAACGCAAAATGTAGTTAATAAAGATATAATCAATCAAAATAAAACATAAAATATTGATACACTTAAAACAGAATGAATAAATAATACACAAAATGAAAACTTAAAGTCACAAACGTACCACGCGGAAAGAGATTACCTTCGGTACTCCCGAGGTCTTCTCTTTCTCCTTTTCAATTCATTCCAATTCATCTTATACAGGGTGATTTTTTTATCATAACCCACTCAATTACTTACAGAATAATAATATTTAAAAAATTTTTTTTTATTACTATCTTGAGTTACACATTATTCTTGAATTATTAACTATGTAATACTTTTTAAGTTCATCCCTTATGCCTGGTAAGGGTGTCAACTTTGTTTTTTTAAATGGTAACACGTATTTTTAATTTAATAAAATGTTTGAGTTTTTAATTCAATAGTAAATGGCATTTGAATTTTAAATGAAACTTAATTTGTTTATTAGATATAAACATTTAAAGTTTCAAATTTTTGAGTTAATATATAGGTATAATACACAAGGGATTACAAATACAGGTAGCTAATTGATTTTTTATGACATCTATATTAGTAGGTACACAGCATTGTTATTATCAATGATAGTAAGGTACATTGTTGTGAGTTTATAAATACACTAACTGACAATACAAAAAGTATATCTATTGATAGTCATAATTGATAATAAACAATCCGTGACTGTGATAGCAATATCATAAAAAACCAATTAGCTACCTGTATTTGTAATCCCTTGTGTATTATACCTATATATTAACTCAAAAATTTGAAACTTTAAATGTTTATATCTAATAAACAAATTAAGTTTCATTTAAAATTCAAATGCCATTTACTATTGAATTAAAAACTCAAACATTTTATTGAATTAAAAATACGTGTTACCATTTAAAAAAACAAAGTTGACACCCTTACCAGGCATAAGGGATGAACTTAAAAAGTATTACATAGTTAATAATTCAAGAATAATGTGTAACTCAAGATAGTAATAAAAAAAAAAATTTTAAATATTATTATTCTGTAAGTAATTGAGTGGGTTATGATAAAAAAATCACCCTGTTTACTAAAATATTTTGTTTGTGTTTTTATAAAATTCATATAGTAATCATTTTCAAAAAGGTTTATAAATATTTACTTCCTGATCTAGTAACAATAATTCGGGGAATTACAATTAATCCAAACATTACAAAAGTGTTCCACTTCTAGGTTTACAAATAATAGACTATATTATATTTTTGTAATAATAGATCAAAAAATTCATAGTTAAACCAAACATTACAAAAATGCTTTGTTTTCAGTTTTACAAAATAATGACCTATATTACATGGGCGATAATGAAGAACTACTATTTTTAAAAATATATCTTACTAATGTTCAGTAGTATATTTTCTTTAATATTTTAAAACTTGTGTAAAAAATAAAATTTTCATGTATTTATTATATGGTATCAAACATACATATATATTCAAATGTTTATAAAATTAAAAATTTAACTATGAAATATAAAAATATGACGTTTGATAACAAATTTTTGCCCAAAATCTACTCTAAAAAATACACTAATATACTAAACAGTATTAATATTTTTATACATTTTTAAAGTAAAAAAAGAAATTTTTTTTCAGTAAATTAAAAATATATTATTTCTTATGATATTTTCATACTTCTAAAGTATAAAAGAAAACTCAAGTTATTCTAAATAAACTACCTTTATAAACAGATGCAAGAAGCGAAATATTTGACTCATTTACTTCAACAAATTCAAATAAAACTAATAGAAAATATTTTTAGGATAACGATCATGGAACTGTCTTGTCAATTTTTAAGTCTCAAGTGAAAAAAGAATTATCATCAGGAGCTACTAATGATAATGGTTTGATTGTATATGATAAATTAGTTTGGGTTTGTTTTTTAAAATATGGAATAAATATCAGAAAGGGCATGCCTAGTCATATATATGATATGATGAGTAAGTATAATTTAATATTCGTTTATTAATGATTTGGTAATGAATTAAGACTCTTAAAGTGAGTATAACTATAATTTATAAAAGGCGACTTCAATTTATAAAAAAACCTATGGTTCCATATGTTACATAAAATTTGCTACTTTATTATAAATAAAATAACAAAGATAAAGTAATTATTAATATTATTTATGTTTTTATTAATTACTCATGCTATTTCATACTTATTAAAAATTATAATTAATATATTAATACCACATAATGTTAAAGAATATTTTCTCATATACATTTACATTATTATTTCTTACGAACATAGTATTCATTTAGTGGACAACGACGACTAACTGGTTTTTCTCATATAATTAAATCAACATACACGACACGACACAACGAAAACAAACTTAAATAGATATATATATATATATACAACAATAATAAGCTGACTATTCCCTTCTGACCATTGAATAATACATAGATTTTATAGTCTTTGTTATACTGTTGTTTACAAAATTGGTCTCTAGGTGGTTAATAGTTTTGTACTTTAATAATCACGCTACTCAATTAGTACTTTTAAATGTTTAGTTAACAGACGAACTTACCTCGTTGCCAAAGCATATTGACCCAAAAATTATTTTTAACGTTTTCATTTATAGACTAAATAAAGTCAATAATTAAAACAAAATCATTTTTTCTTATACATGCTTTTTCAATGCATATCTATTTTTGAAGTTATCTGTGAAGTTTCATCACTATCTAAATTATTGATACGAGAGTAGTGGTATAACGAAAGAAGATTCTCGGTAAGAGTAAGAATATTCTTTTGCAGATAATTACGGGAGAATATATTTAAAAAAAATGAATAAAATATTTACTTAATAATATAAAATTAAATCAAACTAAACAATTATTTATTAAAAATTTATGATTGAAAAATAATCATCTTTTTTGGCTGATAGTAGCATAGTAACATAAACATAAAAAATTATCTAGAAAATTGTTGTCAATAATTAGTCAAATTAGTTAACATTCAATAATGGTTTAGAAAAATANTTAACATTCAATAATGGTACCATTATTTTGTGTGAGACTAATAGAAAAATATAGGGAAAAGATGAAAATTTTGTGTATGGAATTTATAGATTTGGAGAAAACGTACAATAGAATACTGAGAGAGGTTTTAAAGTGGGAATTAATGAGAAAAGGAGTCCCGAAAAGTACACTAATATAATAGAGGATATGTATGACACCCTGGTATGATTATACCAAGGTATAATGTGTGGAAGGAGTAACAGAAGGTTTAATGATAAGAGTAGGAGTACATTAATGTTTTGCTTTAAACCCCTACTATAGTGATGGATGAAGTTACTAGAGAAATACAAGGAGAGATGCCGTGGTGCATGTTGTTCACTCACGATATAGTGCTAATAGAAGAAAATAGGGAGAATATTAATCAAAGGCTAGAGGCGTAAAGATCAGTTCAAAAAGAGAAGGATTAAGAATAAATAAGAATAAGATAGAGTAAATAGAGTACGAGTTTGATAAAGGAGAACAAGAGATAGGTGAAATGAAAAGATCAGTGACAATAAGCGAGGACGTGATAGGAGAGGTAGAAAGTTTCAAGTATTTAGTATTAGTTGTGCAAATGTATTGACGAGGATGTATGACATAGGATTAAGTGCAGGTGGTTGAAGTGGAGAGAAGCCTCTGGTGTGTTATGCGATAAAATAATTCCAATTAGATTGAAAGGTAAGTTCTATAAGAATTTAATAAGACCAGCTATGATGTATGGTTTAGATGGTTTGGTCATGTTATGAAGAGAGAGTGATTCAGAAGCTACAAGAACAATTATGGAAATTAATGTTAAAGACCAAAAAAGAGATGGAGGGATGTTATTGAATGCGATATGAAGACGGCTTATGTGAGCGCAGATGATGTGGGAGATCGTATTAAGTGGAAGTTTAGGATATGGGTGGCCGACCCTAAGTAGTTGGGATTAAGGCGAGGAAAATATAGAAAAAAATATTTCTGTCAATAAATGATTCTATGGATTCTTGTTTTTACATTTCTATAACTTATTAATGTTTTTGCATTACTATGGTATCTTAATGTTTCATTCGTCATTCAAAGACTAAAAATAATAACCCTCCAGAAAAAAAAACTGCTCCAGCGTAGATATCATCGAAAAATTCTCAGTCAAAAAAAATTCTATATAAATACCGTATAATAAGCATAATTTGGTAGTCAAATATAAATTTGGTTGCTTCTAAATATATCTCTAAAGCGTTTGTAAGCTCTAAAACAAATATTGAATAATTTGTTAACTTTTATTACAAGTGTATTGTATCTCCATCTCCGTTTGATTTAATTACCGAGGTTAAAGAGATAAATTTGAAAGTGACCAATTTTATACTTGTTACAAGACCAATTTATAATAATGTAGCATATAATAAATACAAGTTACAAAAGAATAATCTCGTTTTTGAGAATTCTCGAAAATATGCACAAGATATATTCCGTAGAAAAAGATTATTACAGTAATTTTACATCACCATACGGGAGCAAAAAATGTAAAAAGTTTAAAAACTGACCATAGTGTTCCCTACATATTTTATTGACCTTATGCAATTTAATGGAATAAAAAATTTCGACGATTATTAAGTTAATAGAATTTTATTTTATATTTTATCATATTTTGATGATTTAAGAATATTCAGACTAATTTTCATATTTAAAAATATAATATGAAATAATACATATTTTTATCATATTTTCAAATTTTCTACATAAACATTAGTTTAATTACTATTTCTAATAAATTTTAGATTAATAAAAAAAATTTGAAAATGTTTGACTAAATATTTAAGCGAATTTAATCCAAAATTCGTCTATTTAATTATAAGGCGTATAATATGAAAATATGGGAAAGTAAACTAAGAATTATACATAATAATATGTCATATCTAAAAACTTTTTTATAGTATACTATAAATATATTTTGATATATTTATAATATACATTTGCATCATATTTTAAACTTTTTAATAACCTAAAGGTCATACATTATCGGTCGTATGGCGTGAAAAATTTTCTAAATAATTACTTTAATTAAAAACTCATGGAGTACTAAAGACACAAACTATTACTGATTACGATTTTATATAAACTAAATAATTTTTATCATTACGAAAATTTATAATTATTTTATTCATTCTTAAATAAACAGACTTATTTTCATAAAATTTCTTCATAAACTACAAAAAGAGATCAAAGATGATCAAACTTATCTCGTAAATCTCGACAAAGTTAAATTTTGACCTATTATTTGATTTTTTATTGAATCATTATCTAAATAATAGTTAGGATGTTGTGCAACGCGAAATACTCGGACGACCCTCGCCGAGTTAAATCGCGTCTCTCTCGGTTCCTTTTAAATGAAATCAAAAAAGAATAAAATAAAAATAAATTTTTGTGTACTGTAATTTATATTACCCTATTAATATTATCCAATACAACAATAAATTTATACTTTAAACTTATGGTTAGTAATTTACACTTAATCAAATAATAAAATATATTAACATAAAATATTCTTAACAATTAATACTTAGACAAAAACATAAACTGTATAATTTGAACTTGCGCTTCTTTAGACACATGATGAAAAGTGTTTCAATATGTCAATTATTACAGCCGAGCCCGACACAATCAACTGTAAAATATATACTTCTGTCGCTGAAGAACAGAATACTAATACGCACCGTTTTATGCATTAATTCGTTTAAACCAACGTACATAAAGTGAATTTAACACATAAAACACCAAAATAAGCAAGTCGAATAGTGATCCGACATCAACTTCGACACAACTTACCAGACGTCAAAACAACACATCAGAGTCATATTTAATAAAATACATAAAAATGCATGTTAAAAATGTAGCTACACAAATCTGAAGCATACGACAACACGAGTAGGAAAGCCCTCACATACACTATCCCAACAGTAAAAATGGTTAGGACAAGTCGCGCTCATTACGTTGACAACTGAATTCTATTTGACACGACCGAACAGATGTAGTGTAAATGTAAATAATATTAATTTTTAAAACTTATACCTTACCAACTGTAGAAAATGAACAATTAAGAAAATCATTTAATTAATAACAAAATGTTTAATTTATATACGATTAGGACATATTCCAATGAAAATAGACGATGTAATGGAATTAATTCCTGGATTTGTTAAAATATTAATTAATAAATTAGCTGATGATTTGCGAAGTCACGCAAATAACGGATATATTCCTTTAGGGGATGCACGTGAAATATTTGAAAAACATGAATTAGATAAAGAAATACGAACCCAAACTCTATATAAAGTGGAAACGACGAGGGATCAATTACTTAAAGTGGAAGGTAATTTTTTTAATTGTGAATAATATTAATGTTTTAGACTAACAACTTTACAACTAAAATAAAAGTTAGACGTTTAAATATATATATATATTCCAAGAAACATGTCTAAATCTCATTTTACATTTGATTTACTCAAAACAATATATAGAGTACTTAAATATATCATTATAAAAATCAATGAATTTTCAATATACATTAAATACATTACTTCTAGAAGAGTTATGTAAAAGTATGAACTTTCGTTTTAATTAATGAGAGCCTATATTATATGAAATGATTTATACAACTATTTTGATTTCATCGTTTTGCAAATATTCGTTCCTCAAAAAAAAAAAAAATCACATTGCTTAAACTGTGTGATTTATTAATCATAGCACCCCCATTTTTTTATTAAAAGTTTTTTTTTTATAAGAATGCATATATTAAAATATTTTTTATTTTTATGAACCAATATTAATGTAAAGTCTATTTTATAAAAAATTATTTCTAAGAGTAGATTTTAGGAGTAACTTTCAAAAGTTAAACAGGAACCTATTACAATTATTTTACTATTAATTGGAGTATAGTCTGTATTAAATGTTGACTAGTCTCTAACCTGTTTAGTATTATTATTTTTTGAGTTATTATAGTTTTTATTTAAAAGGAATGCCCAACGTAGAAGAATTTTTATTTGTTCGTTATGGTCAAATAACAGCAACGCTAAACACTACCGCGCTCCACACAAATACTAAATCTTGAAACTCCAATACCTCAAAACTATCAATTTCCAAAAAAAACAAAATTACTTTCTTAATTATTTTTGTTATACTTTTCTACTCTCCAAAAGTATAGGGTGGTTATATCATTGTTATGAGGGCTACATTTCATTTTCAATTCTCCCTGAAGAATATTTTTAATCATAATAAATAGTAGAAACGTACTCAAAATTATTTCTAGGTGTGATATGTATAAGAACTTTCTTTCTTCCAAAATACATCTTAATATATATCATATAAAAGACGATAATATAATTAATATATTACAAAATAAATTTTATCTTAGTAATTGAGGTTCTATCAATCATAAATCTCTAGTTAGGGATCTCAGTTCTCCCAAATATCAGCATAAATATTTATATTACTACTTAAATTACTTCTGATCAATTAGCACCGGAAATTATATATTAAATATAAGAAGAACCTGAAGTAGAATTTATAAACAATTATGGTTCCAGTTAATGATTATCGCGTTGAAAATTAACATTATTTCACTTTTATAAAAACGTTTTGTATCTTAAATGTTTTTATACAATCCTAAAAGAAATATTTATAATAGTAATTAAAAAAAATTGTTTTTTTTCAGATATCATAAAAGTCTTAAAATGAAATGTATTACATTATTTATATGTAAAGATCTATAAATAAACTTCTACTTGAGTATTTCTTGTGTTAATTTATTTAGCTTCGATGCGAAGCTGAGAAGGAATTAATTTTACTATGTGTTTTTTTCTGTTGCCACTTTTTCTCAGCTCTTACATGACCGATTTCTTTCAACATTGCGCCAAAAGATCAAATATCGTATCTAGTTGAAGTCATTACCCTTAAAAGTAGAAAGAATTTCCTCATTTCCTGTAAATTTCCAAAAAAATTACAATTTTTAAAATCGGTAAATTTTGTTATTTTTTCATTTTTTTTTCTTAAAACTACCATAACTTTTTTAAAAATTATCAAATCAATATAATTTGACTCTAAACCTGTCATAAGGATTACAAATACAGGTTTTTTATTACATCAATATTCGCAAGTACAGAGCATTTATTATCAATGGTAAATAGCACATTGTTGTGAGTTTATAAATACTGGAAATACAGAAAGTATATATATTGATAGTCATTAATGACAATAAACATTCCGCGACTATGACAGCGACGTCATACAACACTAATTAGCTACCAGTATTTGTAATCCTTTGTATATTATACATGTATATTACCTCAAAAATTTGAAACTTTAAATGTTTATATCTAATAAACTAATAAAGTTTTATTAAAAATTCAAATGTCATTTACTATTAAATTAAAAACACAAACAATTTATTAAATTCAAAATGTGTGTGTACCATTAAAAAAAATAAATTTGACACAATTACAAGGAATAAGCGATGAACTTAATAAGTATTAAAAAATTAATAAATCAAGAACAATGTAAAACTAAAGAAAACAAAAAAGAATGTGTTAAATTATGTTTATTCTGTAAGTAATTGAGTGGGTTATGATAAAAAAATCACTCTATAGTGTGCCTCGATTGATGTGCTATTCTCAATATATTTTTAGTTTAGAAGCGAAGCTGAGAAGGTATAAATTTTACCATAAAGTGCGTTCTTTTTATGTCTGTACATGAAAGTTCTCAGCTCTCACCGGTCTGATTTTAATGAGCAATACGCCATAAGAATAGGATTATATCTAGTTAAAGTTATCAGTGTTGAAAATTAGTAAAACCCCCTTATTTTTAAAAATTAAAAAAAATAGCTTTAAATTACAATACCGTAAAAAATTGTATTTTCAAAATTATTTTTCTGCATTTTAAAACTGGTGTAATTTTTTTTTAAACTCTTATTCAAATGAAATTGTAATAGAGTATACTAATAATAAAGTGTGCTTTTTTTGAAAATCCATTGTAAAACATAAATACTTTAGAAAAGGAAGACTTTTAAATATACCAACCCCCACGCAGATAAAAATTTTTTTTTTACTCGATATATGAAAATATTCTAGAAGGTCTGACATTTGACTTTAAAGTCAACCATAGTGATATTTCTGTAAAAATTCGTCACTTTTTCATTTTGCTATAAGTCTTTCAAAAATACACTGATTCTAATAAAATTGTTTAATTATTCACTATTTATTGACTTGCATTGGAGGCTTATTGTGACAGTTGTGTTAACCACTGTCAGATATCATTTATACTTGTTCCCACTGTGCCGTGGCTCTATTGTGCTGAGTGTTTTAATCGTGAAATAATATTAATAAATAAAATGCATATAAATTCTTGCATGTTATATTAGATTGATATCTATGTTTGATTGACTATATTTGACATTACTATCATAAATGCTTACATGAAGGATTTTTTTTTCAATTTTTAATGCTGATATGTTCATATAGATTAAATTCGGGTTGTTACTAGCATAGCGATCATCAAAATCGGTTCATTAACAGCGTAGTAATACTATTATACAAAAAAGTCATACAAAGTCATACAAAAATAAAAGGAAAACTGATTATTGTAAAATCAATACCATATCAATTTTAAACCGAAGATTTTACATTTTAAACTACTTCGATGACGATTATAATCATCACAATAATAATAATGATTTTAATAAAAAAATTACAATTTTTACTGATTGCTTATTAAGAGTTTTATTTCTAATTTTTATAAAAATGAGTGTAAAATACTTTAACAAAAACATAATTAAAAGGATGTGTAATGTTGCAGAATTTATATGAGTTTTTTTTTTTATATTTAAATCTTATCAATTAGATATGTGTGCAGTAGGTGTAAAGTATTTTAATAATTTTGTATATGATAACCTCCACTTGTCAACCGGTCCGATATCTGTCATCATCAGCTGACCGTACACAATGCACCTATACCCATATTGTTGTATTTCCCCCCAATGGACTTGTCAAAGATGGTACCACCACCACCCGGCGTCACGATCACCGCCCACTACACAAATGCCGCTTCAAATGATTTTTTTTCCAGCTATACTACCGAGGCGACAAGTCGTGTGTTCTACATAATTTTTACTGTGAAAACCACGTTTTCTGTTCATATTTTTTTTTTTGTCCTCCGTTTTTTTTAAACAAAACGTCGAGATGGTGATAATGATGATGATTGTGATGTGAGGCGCAACTATGGCCGGTGGTGGGCCATCACTCCGCAACTCAACCAACAACAAGTATAACGTGAAACCCCCCTGTTCTACCCATTATTAATCTTGTTAATATAGCACCTCCTTTTTGCTTCTTTTTT